TACGAGAAGGAAGCATTAGCTATTATTTTTTGCGTATCTCATTTTCGACCATATTTATACGGTAGAAAATTTACTTTAGTAACTGATCATAAACCATTAGTATGGTTCCAAAATTCGAAGGATCCTTGTTCACGTGTTTCGCGTTGGAGATTAAAATTAGCAGAATATAACTATGAAGTAGTGTACAAGGCAGGTAAAATGAACGTCAATGCAGACGCTCTTTCAAGAAATCCAATTCCTAACGAAGAAGAATTATTTAGGAATCAAAAGGTGCTCGACGATGATACATTTTTAACATTCGGGGATAATAAAAAATCAAGTGAAAATATTCGCGATAGTGATAATAATACGTCTACATTATTACTCTTATTAACTTCTTTGCTTGACCCAATACTTACGAAAACGCAATGGAAAACCATTCTCACTAGGGCACAACGAAAATTAGAAGAAAGGGGAATTCAAGAAAAACTTACGGAAAACGTAGAAGAAATATTGCAGCCCATTATCAAGAGGTCAAGAGGTCGTCCTAAAAAATTAAAAAATAAACTTCCCATACAAGAAGACAAGGTTGGTACCAAAAGAAGAGGAAGGCCGAGGAAAGACAAGAAGCCAATCTCAGAAGCTGAAGAAGAAACTGATCCAGAATACTTCGATGAATTAAGAAGAAATAAACGACTTAAAAAGACAAAGGGGAAGAAGAAAAACAAAATCGTAATTCAAGAAAAACCAAATGAAGACAATGAAAATTACTTTTCATCCACAGAAGATGATAGTTCAGAAGAAGATGACGACATATTCAAAGAATCCCTCGATGAAGAATCTCATAAAGAAGAAGATGACGACACAATTAAAAATCCCCTTAATGAAAAAATTTTTGAAGAAGAAGAAAGTGAAATTGAAGAAAATAACGAAGACAAAGGACGTAATCTAAGAAGAAAAGAAGAAATTTCTCAAGCACCTCCTGTTCAAGAAAAACAATCTACGAGTAATAAAATTTTGATAGAATGTCGTGACCAATTAACAATGCGAAAAGACAATTATTTATATTTTATAAGTACTAACGGTACCCTTCTCGACAATGGATCTAAAAGTTTAACAAAAAAATCAATTCTACCCAAATTTAATAATTTACAAAAGGGTTTAGTAAAAGAATTTAAAAGGGGAAAATATTATCATTTTGCACTTCCAATTCAAGAAAATGTCAAAGAAAACTTAACTGATACTCTAAATACAATCAAATCATGTTTTAACTCTTTACTTTCAATTAGTGATAAACTAAACATTCGCAGTATTAGTATAGCAAAAACATCTCAAATTAATCACATTCCTTGGGAAGATATTAAAATTTTAATTCAAGATATTTTTTCAAACTCTAAAACAAAAATTATAATTTGTAATGGGATTACGCAATACCCTAACAAAGAAATTAGACAACAGATATTAGAAGAAAATCATTCATCGGCAATCGGAGGCCATAAGGGAGTAACAAAAACTTTAGCTAGAATTCGTCAAAAATATTATTGTGAAAATTTAAAATTAGATATTCAAAAATACATAAACGGATGTTTACAATGTCAATTAAAGAAATTAGTTCGCGTAAAAACTAAAAATCCAATGATTATCACAGACACACCTACAACTGCTTTTGAAAAAATTTCTATGGATATTGTAGGACCTTTTAACCCTCCAACTAAATCTGGTAATACGTACATTTTAACAATTCAAGATAACTTCACAAAATACTCTTTAGCAATCCCTTTACCTAATCATCAAGCTGCTACAATAGCAGACGCATTCGTGAAAAAATTCATTTGCATATTCGGTTCACCTAAAGGCGTACTAACAGACCAGTGAAGAGACTTTTTGAGCAATTCATTAAAAAGATTAGCAAAACGTTTTAGAATTAAACAATTTCGTACAACAGCTTTTCACCCCCAATCTAACGGATCACTCGAACGTTCGCATCATGTTTTAGCAGAATACTTAAAACAATTTATTGAGAAAAATTCTGAATGGGACGATTGGTTAGAATTAGCAATGTTTTCTTACAATACTAGCATACACGAAGGAACAAAATGCACACCATACGAACTTGTCTTTGGAAAATTAGCTCGTGAACCCTCTAGCGAATCTCCTTCTCAAAACGAAAAATTACAAACATACGATGAATATTTAACTACCTTTGTTACACAATTACACGAAATGAGAGCACAAGCAAGGGAAAATTTAATTTCGGCAAAGGAAAAATCGAAATTTTATCATGATAGAAAAATTAATCCCCTAGAAATAAAAAATGGCGACTTTGTATTTTTATTAAACGGAGGAAAAATTAAAAAACTAGAAAACCAATACTCAGGTCCTTATGAAATTTTAGAAATATTAGGAAAAGGTTATGTAAAAATTAACTTTAAAGGAAAACCTTTAATAGTCCATATTAATAGATTAAAGAAATCAAAAATTAATTCTTAACTTAACAAATATAAAACAATTATCTAATATAATTTTTTCTCGTTTCAGATCTGAGAAGCAGAACATATATTTTCAACAGGAGTACTAATCATATATTTTTTCTATTTTTCCTAATCCTTATTTAGCAACACCCATTTTCCTCACCTCGGAGGAATGTATTTTGAAAATGATAATTACCGATAAATTTATCTTTTCTGAGATTCACATGAAATACAAACTCATATCTAAAACTAATTCATATTTCCAAATGATTATGGGATCCAATATTCTTTAAAAAATTCTTTGCAAAGTCATTTTCTGTATTAAAAATACCTTCCTCTAGATTTACACGGATATTTTGTAAATAAAAGATTAAAATTTTTATCAAACTAAATTTTTTTTTAAATTTACAATTTCTATAGTTAAACAAATAAAAACAGAAAGAAATAAAAATAATTACAAATTTTTTTTTTAATAATGCTGCAAAACTAAAATTTAATAACAAGAATAAATGTTTTTAATTTTTTGATGTTCTTATCTACAAGTAGCAAGAGATGCAATTATTAAATAAATTTTGAAATTGATAAAACGATTGTATAAAGAAAAACATAATACATGGATTTAGTAAATTCCTTTAGTAAAAACAAATCCATTTATTATGTCAAATTATATTCTTTATATCTTACAAGAAGAAGATTCTTAAAAATAAATCCCTTATATAAAATAACATATAAAAGACAATTAAATATTCAAAGTAATAAACTAGAAGAAAAGCCACTTTTATTAAATTCTCTTAACATTCCAAATAACCTAACAAAATCTTTAATAATTAATTATATACCAGAATTTCCAAAAATTTCAAATACAACATTTAAACAATATAAAAAAATTTTTCAGAAATAACATATATAACCTTAATAACACTTTTAATAGAAATAATTATAGCGCTATTCAGAATTCAATAAAAATATCAATAATATATGTTTAAATCTTTTAAAGAAAGTTATAAAAAAATAAATTTCTTTTGCTTATATATAAATTTTTTTTTAAACTATTCTTCGAAAAGCATTGATTAAAAAAAAAATGGTTCCAGAAAACCAAACTTTTTATGAAAGCGAAACATTAGCTCCTATTAGATCAGCTTTTCAAGACAGACTATATAACGAACTAATACGACATATATGTTGTAGAAAAATCACAACCAAAACACATTTATCAAACAACAAGGGTTAATATATTGCGAAGATTGTTATCCGCTATTCGACAATGAATTAGAGATGAGACAAGACGATCATTTAATAGCATGTGCAAATATAAGCCTAGATTGCTTTAGATGCAAAGAAGTATTATACAAAGTAGTAAGAAGATCATTATTTTGTAGACAATGTTACATCGAATTAAGGGTAATACTACAAGATATAGTTTGGGAAGAAAACAATTTATTCTCAATTTAACATTAGATAAACAAAAATAATAAGTACATATTAAATAAATAACAAAACAAAAAATATATATACATAAAGGATAATTAATTAAAATCATAAACTCACTATTCTTTACGAATAATCTTATAATAGTGACTTTATGAAATAAAAAAAAAGAAGGAAAAATTATATATAAACCTTCTATTTTTTTAAATCTTTTCTACAATTTGATAAATATTTTAACAAGAAATATGAACAATTAATATTAAATAAATCTTACTCAATCACTGTGAAGCAATTATGCTCTATGAGTTATTAACAGATAATATTTAACGATTTGATTTCAATACTTAGTTTCCTACGACTAATAATAAAAATAATGTATAAAATATAAAAAAAAATTATGTTCAATCATTTAATGTAAACTATGTACATTGAACAATTATATTATTGTACGACTCGATCTAATACGATCTAATAACAAATAATAGACCACGAATAATTTTAACTTTTTGCAAAATATTAACAAATAATCATGTACTATGAATAATTAAATTTTTTTTTAACAAATAATATTCTACGAATAATTTAAAAAAATATTAACAAATATTATTAAACGAATTATTTTTAATTAACAATTACTAAACAACTTTATTTTACATAAAATATTTTTTTTTTTTTCAAAAATTGTTCTATGATTTAAAAAAAAAAGAAAAAAAAAATTTTTTTTTTTTTCAAAAAAAATTGTTCTACGATTTAAACTAAATTCTACGATTTATACAAAATTTTTTTTTTTTTTCAAAAAAAAAATTTTTTGTTTTACGATTTAAACAAAATTTTTCTTTTTATACAAAATGTTTTCAAAAATTGTTCTACGATTTAAACAAAATTTTTCTTTTAATACAAAATGTTTTCAAAAATTGTTCTACGATTCAAACAAAATTTTTTCTTTTTCTACGATTATTGTTCTACGATTTAAACAACATTTTTCTTTTATACAAAATTCTTCAAAAATTGTTCTACGATTTATACAAAAATTTTCTATGACTTACTCAAAACTTTTTCAATTAACAAATAATGTTAAAACGATTTTACTCAATAATGTTAAACAAACATATTGTACTACGATTTACTAAAATATTTTGTTCTTCACAATGAACACTATAATAATGTTTTCTTGGAATTCTTTTTCTACGATTCTACGATTTAAAAGAAAGTTAATCTTATGTATTACGATATCGAGAATTTTAGACAAATCTTCTGCCGAAGCTTCAATCGCAAATTTTCAATTGTGCGATTAAATTAAGAGGGGAGGTGTCACATGCCACGTGTGTGACCTCTAAGTAACCTTAGACCAGACCTGTTACCAAGCAAACTTGACAAACACCCATCGATGAGCAATCTTTTTACAACCCTATTACGTCGATACACGGATGTGATCTGGGTATATAAGGCCCTAAATTTGGATCCAAAAGTCAGTATCTAGTCAGCATCCAGTCAGTATCTAATTTAAATCATACCGATCGACATCATCTCTGTACCAGTAGTCAGTGCGAATCTATACTCGTTACCTACGATTATCCCAGTCTAAGTAATACCCATCTCGTGTGACCGAGCCATTGTCAAACTTCCAAGCAGTAAAAATTGGAAAGGCGGTGCATCTGAACTGACTGTGGACGCACGAGCGGAGAACGGGTTTTCAGCTTCACAAAGAAGCAATAAAGGTAATTAACTAAATCTTTTTATCATATTCTTTCGATACAATTTCTATATCTAATAAACGCCTATTTGTTAAAGGTGTTTATTGGAACTGGTCTTCTCTCGGCAACATACAAATAAAGAACTTCAAGAAATCATTATATACTATTTTATAATAAATTTCATTTTAACTAATTCTTAACTTTTATTCATTGATTCTTTTTCCTCATTCTTAAATAAGATTTCTTCGGAATTTCTTATTTAAAACGAGGATAACAAATGTTAAGAGGTAAGTTACTTTTCACGTAACAAATTATAAAAAATGTACCTGTTGTGCGGTTGTTACAAGTGACTATTTTTTATAAACTATTTTATACAACCTCATCGAATTACGGAAAATTTCCAGAAAAAAAATTTACTTCCACAAACATCTTTCGGAAAGTATTTAACGTCTACAAAAATCAATTTCCGGATAATGTCCAGGAGAAAATAAACTTTTAGAAGCATTTTCCAGAGAATAATTATCATCATCCATTTTCAGAAAAAATAACGTCAAAAAAAAATAAATTTCCAGAATATTTCCAAAGTGATTTCCGGAAGAAAAATCGACATACTTTCAGAAAGAGGTAACGTTTAAAAAAAATCCATTACTGAAAAATTTCTGGAAGAAAAATTGATTTCTAGAAAAAAATTAACGTAAAAAAAATCAATGTCCGAAGTGATTTGCGGAAGAAAAATCTAATTACTTCCAGTAAGAAATTAATGTTTTAAAAAATCCATTTCCGGCGAAGTTTCACTTTCCGAATTGATTTCCGGAGAAAAAATCGACTTCCAGGAAAAAATTAAATTAAAAAAAATCAATTTCCGGAAGTGATTTCTGAAAGAAAAATCAACTTCCAGAAAAAAAATTTGCGTCAAAAAAATAATTTTCCGTAAAGTTTCCGAATTGATATCCGGAAAATTTCTGAAAGAAAAATCGACTTCTACAAAAAAATTAACGTAAAAAAATCAATGTCCGAAGTGATTTGGCCATATATCCCACCTGGGTGGGTCGATCTAATATGTTTCTCTGATTAATTTGAAACAAGAAAATAATTGAAAATATTTTCTTACCCAAGTGCGAAATGCCAAGACTGCAAAAACGGCCCATCATTGGTGCAGTAATGTCTGCCGAGAATTGGCAGTAGTTACTGGGCCATTATTGGTGTCCAAAACGTCCCATTACTGGGCCAATGATGGCGCCGATGGTCAGAATTTCAAATTTTTTAAGACTGGGCCAGCTCTCGGCCCAATAATGGCACATTTATGGCAAAGTTTATCAATGTTTAATGGCAAAAGACAATTGCCAGTGATGTGCCGACCATCGGCCCAGTAATGGCTCATTATTGGCACTTTAATGGCAAAAAATTTGTATCGTTCATGGCAAATTATAATTACCAGTATTGGGGAGTAAGCTTTGCTCAATAACGGCACAATATTGGCAAAGTTGATCAATCTTTAATGTCAAAATTCAATTGCCAGTGATGTCACGAAGATCGGCCCATTAATGGCACATTAGTGGCACTTTAATGGCAAACATTTTGTATCTTTGATGGCAAATTATAATTGCCAGTATTGGGGCGTAGCTTGGCCCAATAACGGCACATTCACGGCAAAGTTGATCAATCTTTAATGGCAAAAGACAATAATTGACAGTAATGTGACGAAGATCGGCCCATTAAAGGTACATTAATGGCATTTTAATTTGGTAAAATTTTTTATAAGAATTTAATTTTAAGAAACATTCAGTTATTCAATAAATTATTTATTTTGTATTTAAATAATTGAATAAGCTTGAAAAGGATTCAAATTAAAATATTTGAAACTTTGAATTTTCTATATTTTTAACTGTCAATTTTAAAGAATTAATTTTTTTGAAAAAGTTTAATTAAGTATTAATTTAAAAAAGAAGTTATTAATGTTTTCAAATAATTTTACAATTAAAGAAATTAGTGAATAAATGTAACAGAAACCTTTTTTTTAAGTAAAATTTTTCCTTTATTATCTAAAAATTAAGAAATTTTTAATTTCACTTTCAATTAATATTTGCAATTGACAAATAGAATTTATAAACATTTTTTTCCTTTATTTTTTTAAAATCTTTGAATTTTTCTTAAAGCAATTGTAATTAAGAAATAGAAATGATGCAAATTATTTCCTTAAGAAAATTTATTCAATAAATGAATGTTTTTTAAAATTTAATTCTCATAATTCAATTTTAAGAAACATTTAGTTATTCAATAAATTATTTATTTTTGCATTTAAATAATTAAATTCTCGTAGAATTTTCTAGTAAATATTTATTTCAAAATGGATTCTAGTCAAATTTTTAGATAATAATTAAATATTAAAAATATACCATGAATTTTGATATTAAAATTTTTTTAAATTTAATTGCCAATGATGTGACGAAGATTGGCCCATTAAAGGCACATTAATGGCACTTTAATGGCAAAATTTTGTATCTTTGATGGCAAAATATAATTGCCAGAATTGGGGCGTTGCTTGGCCCAATAATGGCACATTCACGGCAAAGTTGATCAATCTTTAATGGTAAAAGACTATTGCCAGTGATGTGACGAAGATCGGCTCATTAGTGGCTCATTATTGGCACTTGAATGGCAAACATTTTGTATCTTTGATGGCAAATTATAATTGCCAGTATTGGGGCGTAGCTTGGCCCAATAATGGCACATTCACGGCAAAGTTGATCAATCTTTAATGGTAAAAGACAATTGCCAGTGATGTGACAAAGATCGGCTCATTAGTGGCTCATTATTGGCACTTGAATGGCAAACATTTTGTATCTTTGATGGCAAATTATAATTGCCAGAATTGGGACGTAGCTTGGCCCAGGAATGGCACATTAATGTCTATCATTTTGTATCTATGATGGCAAATTATAATTGCCAATATTGGGACGTAGCTCGGCCCAAGAATGGCACAGTATCGGCCAGTGTAGTGTAGCTTATAAAAACCCTTTTGCATCCTCGACTTCAAGTCAGAGTAGCAGAGTGGTCAGAGTGTTAGGCTGTGGTGCGTCAGGTTCAGGTATCGATCCCCGCGAGAGGTAAGAATTTTTCAAATATTTGTAAGTTTGCGTTTAATTTAGGGAAATAAGCCGTATAAATGTTATAAATTAATTAGTTAATTAAATAAAAAAAAATTTATTTTTTTCCAATTTTGTCAACACTGGGGGAGTAATGGCAGCCAATATTGGGCCATTAATGTCTGCTGAGATCTGGCTGCCAATAATGGGCCACTAATGTCTGCCGAGATCTGGCGGCCAATATTGGGCCATTAATGTCTGCCGAGATCTGGCTGCCGACGTCCAACCGCTGTTAACACCACAAGAGTCGGCGCAAAGTCGGGCCAATATTGTCTGCCAAGTCTCGATGCCAGCTTTGCCAATACTGGGCCAGTGTTGGGCCGCGTTGGTTTTCGCACTTGGGTACATGTTAAATATATCCTCGATTTTTGTAATAAGGAATTTTGTCCAGCAGTTTGAAAATTTTTGGACATTTTCAGCAATCTGATATTTTTACATTATTATAACTAATAACCCCGGGGTGCCAGCGAGCTGGAACTTTACAGTAAAATTGTTATGGCCAATAGGTATAAAAAAAACTAATAATCCATTAATATAGTTTCTTTCATATTGGAGATCTGAGAAAGGGGGCATCTATCCGTGGGGGGCATCTATCCGCACTTTACCCTAAGTGAACTAAACTCAAAAAGAAAAAAGGAATTTTTAGTACTTTTTTTAAAATAAAAAAGATGAAAAAAAAATCGAAATTTTTTTTAAATGTAATGTCAATTTTTCAATTTTCAATATTTTCACTTAATAATGAAATATTTATAAAATGTGCATAAACTTGATTTTTTGTTTAATGATAAAATTTGTGGGCTCAGGGCTGCACGGCAATTATGAACTCCATCAGAGCAGCTCTATAAACAATAGCTCCCAACTTGGAAGATTTTTTATATAAATGCTTGAAAATAATATGAATTACAGTTAAATATAAGAACAAAATGATGGCAATGTTTTATTTCATTTAAAAAAATTCTTTCGGTAAAAAAAATTCACGAAAAACTGCTAAAAAAAACAGCGTTCTAATGTGGTTTCCCCCCTTAATTTAATGAGTTTAAATATTATTTATTTTAATAACATTTTCCATAAGAATTCAATTATTAAAAAAATTTAGTAAAATTCTACGCAAAAAATTAATTATTTTCATAAAATATTCAAGTGAAATATTGCAGGGATCTTAAAGTAATATTTAAATGTCCACATCACAGAAATATTCCAAAATAACATTGAGAGAATGTTCCACAGTTATATCGAAGTACTTTTTCAATTATTCAGAAATTGTTTAATTAAATATTTAAAAAATAAAAACTTGAAATAATTTTAAAAAAGAAAATTCAATTACATTTTTTAAAGAAATTAATTGTTACTAAAAGTATAAATAATTCTAAATTTTAAAATAATTAGATAAATATTTTTGGAGAAAAGTGGACGAAAGATTACAAAATCAAATTTAAAATTAAACCAAAATTACTAAAAACTAAAGAAAAAATTATGATATTCTAAATTAAATATGCACTGAATTTAAAAAACATAATTTTTCGCTTTTGTTTAATCACTAAAAAAAGAATAAAAGTTTATATTTTCTTTTTTTCTGTTTTACCAACTATTATTAAAAATATTTCAAAACTTCTATAAATGCAGATGGCAGTATTATTAAATAAATCTTCTTTTGTTTTATTCATTTTTATTTGAGGTTAATTTTTAATCAAGGTGAATTTAACAATTTTACAGAAGTAAGTTTTTAATTTTATCTTTTTTATTTTTTAAATGAATAATATTTATGTAAATTTAAATTAATTTTTTATTCCTTTTTTAGTGGTAAATAAAGAAGAAAGAATCAGAATTAGCAAAATAAATAATTTTCAAAAATTGAAAATTCTCGAGTACGCTAGGAGATTTCCATTTCTATTAATGTCAAAGCGATGGAAATCTTCCAGAAATATTGACGATTCTCCCTTATGGGGAGATATTAAATTTGAATTAAATGGAATGAATCCGACAAGCTCTAGGGAAGCAGAAGAATGGAGACAGGTTAGTTTAATAATAATTATTATTTAAATTCAAT